TCTGAGAGCCATCTGCTTTAAATGGCATCAGCCTAACACCAGAGTTCTTGGTAGGTGTTTGCTCACAGGCCTACAGCTTTGTGCATGTGGAGTTTTTGAAAACAGTCTTAGTTGGGAAAGTCTTAAATATTGCAGAAACTCCAAATGATTGGCCTGAGCTGAATGTGACTATCCTGAGCTCCCGGCTTACCAGGGGACTGCCAAGTCCTCAGGAGTATCCCTGTTCCTTTGGAATGCTGTCTTATTCCAGAGCTCTCAGTTAAAGGCCTGTCTGAGCAGGAGTAGACTGAATGAGTAGAATTGATAGTCATATCTGGCTTCTGCGCTTAAAGGAGGTGGGATGCTATGTGTCCCCCTCCCCCCTCCCTCATAGAAGAGCAGGAAAGTGGAAGTGGATGGTTAACCCACGATGGTTGGTGGAAAAAAGACTTGGGTAGCTTAAAAACCAGTATTCACCTACCTGCCAATGCAAGGGACACAGGTTAGATCCCTTGTCAGGGAAGATTACACATGTTGTGTTGAGCAACCAAGCCTGTGTGCCACAACTACTGAAGCCTGCATGCTCCAGAGCCCATGCTCCTCAAGAAGAGCGTAGCCCCTGCTCACTGCAGCTAGACAAAGCCCAAGCACAGCAACAAAGACCCAGCACAGCCATAAATAAATAATTTTTAAAAAACAGTATTCACAAAAAACAGATGAAATCTTGGATCTCATTGTGTGATATAGGGACTGGAATGTGAGAAAAGGAGATTACGGATGTTAGTATAATCAGGACATTACTGATTATAAAAAGAAATAACAAGAGAAGTCCAGTTTCTCACATTTCATTTGCGCAAAAACCTCTCTCAGACTTTCCTTGAGAGGAATTCGACTCGGCAGACATTGAACACCAGCCGTGCCAATTGCTAAGCTCAAGTGTTCAAAGATGAATATGACCCAGGTTCCTGCCCCAGAGAGCATTTGATCTAGTGGAGAATAGATATTGTTAATGCCAATTTTATGTTGTGATGATATTTGAGGCCCAATGATCAAAAATACCTTCTTTATGAAAATTCTCTCATGATTCATCCCCTGTGAGGACAAGCCTGTATTACAAAGGTATGGGCAAAACCAATTTTCATATGGACTGTAGATCTAAATGTGAACCAGTAAAGATTCTAGAGGAAATCATTGGACGCTATCTTCATGACCTCAGGATAGGCAAAGATTTCTTAAATAAGACACAAAACATGCTTACCAAGATGGAAAAAAATGATCACTGATCACATTGGACTGCATTAATATTTCCACTCGTTACATGATACCATTAGGAAAATGAAGTCTATGGAATGGAAGAAGACTGCAGTACAAATACTCAACAAAGGACTTGTGTGTGTAGAATATATAAAGAACTTCTATAAATCAATAAGGAACTGGTTTATGGATTACCAATAGAAATGTGAGAAATAGAGCTGAGTAAGCACTTCACAAAAGAAGATGTTGATTGTCTTGATTGGAGATAGTGACTGGAAGGGAGCACAACAGGCTCCTGGGGTTCTGGTCAGAATGTTGGTTATGTGGGTATTTACTCCATGAAAATCCTTCAAATTATGATTGGGGCACATTTCTGTAGGTATGTTATAATTTCACTGAAAAAGTTTACATAAAGAAAAAGCCTTGCTGTCGAGGATGAGGAATGCAGGCAGCATATTTTCAGACATCCTCTCTATTGCCTCTACTGTGGAAGCAGAGGAAATGCCGAGGGCATGGGCTTTTCCTTGGTTTGTGAAAGTGAAAGTCACTCAGTCATGTCTGACTCTTTGTGACCCCTTGGGAATAGTCCATGGAATTCTCTAGGCCAGAATACTGGAGTGGGGATTCTTCTCTAGGGGATCTTCCCAACCCAGGGATCGAACCCAGGTCTCCCGCATTGCAGGCAGATTCTTTACCAGCTGAGCCACAGGGGAAGCCGTAGGGCAGATGTAGTTTGTACAAGAGTCATATGCAAGGAGTGCCAGTGTCTTGGGTTAGCAGAAGGCCTTTGGCTACCATATCCTGAGAAGGGAGGAGGAAAAAACATTTATGGAGGAAGCACTAGAAACGAGCTTGATTACTTTACAATTCTGTGTATAGCTAACTCAGCCTGGAAGCCTGTTAAAGCCACTGTTGCTTGATCACTTACCATGTGCTGTGGCATTGAGAAGGGACTTTCTGTGCATTATAGTGTTTGATTGTCACCGCAGCTCCAGGAGATGGGCACTATTATTTGTCCAGATTTACAGATGAAGAAACTGAGGCTTGGAGAGATTAAGTAACTTGCTCAAGTTCCAGCTAAAAGAAGCAGCAAGCTGCAACTGGAACCCGCGTATTTGTGATTGAAAACCCACCCTCTTGGCTGTGTCTGTTATTTTGCCTTTTGAGGGACAAAACCAATTTTATTTGACTAAGTGTAGTGAGAAGAAAAAATCCCCTGTGTACATGCACACATGTGCATGCGTGCACACACACACATCAAATTTTAATCATCATAGGCGCTCTGAAACTGATTTTCAAGTCTGAAGGTTGTTGTACTCTAGGTCACTATGAACAGGAGTTTTCCTTTTCTCTTGTAACATTGTTGGAAATACCTAGATGGAGGTGACAGGAGACTGAGAAATCTTCCAGGAAATAATGCAGGCTATGACAGGAATACCCTTATATGGGTGAGCCATGAGTCCTCAGTTCTTTAAGGACATTTTAATAACCCGAATAATTGCCTTTGTTAGGCTTTGTTTTCTACTCATTAATGACTCTCCAGGCTAGATTTTATACTTCTTACCACTAATTGAAATACAGAGATACATAAAATGGATGCTGCCAGCTGATTGTTCCAACACTGTCTGCATATCAACATTCTCCTGCCTGCTTAGGTTTGAAGAGAAGGGGAGGAAAAGGGAATGGTAGGACAAGGAACCTGCAGCAGCTGAATTTGTTTCAAAGGCCAAATTATGGTACAGAAACTAGAATTTTGACACATAAGAATTATTGATATTTGTGCATGGTTAGTGTTTTGGTATTGCCCTACTTAGCATATATGTGTTTTCTTTTCCCCTTCTCGTGATACACAGAGTGCCCTGGGTACATACTCAGGTTGATATGTAATATTTTGAGTTCTTTTGTGTCATGGCTCCTTTTTGGTCCCCAGGGTATTCATGTTTGCAGCCTGTGGAGTATTTATAACATCAAGATAATATTACATCTCCAAATGAAATTTGGTTTATTTATTTTCAAATATGTCTCCCCAGCAATCCAGTGACTGTGGAAGCAGTGTGGTGGAAAGGCACATGATCTGATTTGAGTGGAAACATGTGTAGGTGTAGTTTTAGAGATTTCTGTTTATTAAAAAAAAGAAATCCCCTTCCTTTATCCTTGGGGCTAGTTATCCCACTTTTATTGCTGTGATAATACACAAGAAAGAAATAAGATGGAATAATTGAAAATGCCCATGTTGAACTCAGTTTATTTTATTTGAATATATCTAGTTATCTGGACTTATTTGATGTATCAGTTCAGTTCAGTTCAGTCGCTCAGTCGTGTCCGACTCTTTGCAACCCATGAATCTCAGCACGCCAGGCCTCCCTGTCCATCACCAACTCCCAGAGTTTACTCAAACTCATGTCCATCGAGTCGGTGATGCCATCCAGCCATCTCATCCTCTGTCATCCCCTTCTCCTCCTGCCCCCAATCCCTCCCAGCATCAGGGTCTTTTCCAATGATTCAACTCTTCTCATGAGGTGGCCAAAGTATTGGAGTTTCAGCTTCAGCATCAGTCCTTCCAATGAACACCCAGGGCTGATCTCCTTTAGGGTGGACTGGTTGGATCTCCTTGCAGTCCAAGGGACTCTCAAGAGTCTTCTCCAATGCCATAGTTCAAAAGCATCTGTCTAGATGCTTACAGAAAACTAGACAGAAGCTCTATGTTGCATTTTTTGAAATGTAGAACTTCTAGTTTAGAAGTAGATTTCTGCTGTATGGAATATATTTTTATTTATTCATTTGATTAGCTCTGTACGTTGTATCTTGAAGCTATTCAAAGTACTGTAAGAGCATCTGTTGTATCATTTGGAGGCTGCTAGGTTGTGACATAGCTCAGTGTAGGCGGTGCCATGGTGCTGTGTGGGAATTCTTTGTCTTGGCTTCTTGTTGGTAAACTGATACTCTTAAGTACATCCATCCAAGGTGTTATTTTGTGGGCAGGGTAGTTTTTATTGAGTCTTTAGCTTTCCTATTTCCTTATTTAAAGAAACAGTGACAGCTGTCATTTTCTACCTTCAAACAATAGCATCAGTGATTTTATTAATAGAAAATCATTTTCCAGGTGGGCTTGCGTCCATGCTGGCAACCAGTTTGTATACATGGCCTCATTTTAAATAGCCAGGACTTTGAATGTGTAAATGGACAAGTTTTCAGGCAATTTGGGTAGGGGCAATTTCCATTCTTGCTTCTCCATTTCCAGTCTAAACAACATCTACCAGGTCCACAGCATGTATAGGCAACATTGAATAAAACTTCTAATGGGAAATTTCTTCCAGATGACCTCCCCGAGAGGCTGGACTGTGAAGAAATCTTAAGAAACCGACCCTGATGAAATTGCCTCTGTTGAGCATATTACCCGGTGCAGAAACAGGGAATAGAATCCAGTTATTTTTGGTTCTTGAAAAAATGAATTCTGTTTGTCTGTGTGTGTGTGTGTGTGTGTGTATGTGTGTATAGGTGGCAGAAAACATTAACCACTGTAGAAGGTCAGGTCTCAGTTGGAAGTAGGAGAACCCTGGAGAAGAGAATGTTAAATATTTTTTATTTGAATCTCCAGCAACTTGGAATCGTTTCTGCTGTCGCATATCTTTTATAGATTTATCTTTTCAAGGGTTGTCTGTCTTTACATTTAATTTTCTGGAGGCTGGCACTGTGATTATCAAATGACCTCCAACTCAGCATCACCTGTGGGTGGATACTAATGAATCCTTTTTTAACCTTCCTAGCACTTTTGGAGAAATCAATCAGTAGAAGACGAGACACTGAAGCCATACAGAAAGCCAAAATCCTTTATTCATCTTGCATGAATGAGAGTGAGTAATAAAATAAAATAACTTAACCACCCTTATTTTCCAGAGCTCTATTAATGTTTAAAGATATTGTTTAAGGAAAAAGAGAACTACTAAGAATTCTACTAAGAATGTTGCTTAAAGAAAGGAGCTATTTTCCAAGGCTGGGTTTTGACTGCCGCTATCTTAATGGTCTGTTGCTAGCTTGATGGATCAACTAGGAAAATTTTATTCCTGTGGGTGGCTTAGATTCTTTGGGTATCAGTTAGTCTGTGAGACATGGGTACGGTCAGAAGGGCAAATGGTACTGCATGTGGTACAGAAAGCAGAATCTGGAGGCTAGATCTGGTTTGAGAAGGAGCCTGTGAGGGAGGGCACTTGGGAGTGTTACTGTGTCCTTTGGAACCTCCTGGGGCTTAGAGAAATCCAGATTTCCAGGCAGGCCAGGCTCCTTCTGCTTCTCCATCAGCTTGACAGACATCTTTGTTGGGGACCTTAGGCCTGTCTCAGCATCTTGGGTCTGATTGGAATGAAAAGAGACACTGGACATTCTACTTGGTCCTCCTTCTAAAGGCTATTGCAGAAAGAGGTTTGTGCCTCTGGGAAATGTGTTAACTTGTTTAGGTTTTGGGATGTTATTTGGTGAGCTGGAAGAAGGCAGTAAAAGACAATGAAAGTGTGTGAAGCAATAATTCATTTTTACTGGGGAATGATTATTTTTATTGAGCAGTTTCCTTTAGTTAGGGTTGTTCCTTAGTCTTGCAGAGTGTTCTCAGCTTAACATTGCTTATTGGTTTCGGTCGATATAGTAAGCACAACTTCCATAGTTGGGAGTATCAGGCAGGTTCCCCATTAGCTCTCCTGGCAAGAACATCAGGCCTAGACAGTCACATTGAAGTGGGAGTCATAGATAGTTCTATCTCTGTGGTTATGGGCAAACCACTGTACCTCTCCCTAAAAAAATAGGTTGGGGCCCTACTGGAATTTTTTCTTGAGAAGATATATGTGATTCCTAGCTTGGTAATACAGTTTGCAAATCTAACTCTCCTTTCCTACTTGCTCCTTTTCAGAAGCGATAGAAAAAGCAGATGCCAAGCCATTATTACATATCCTGCGGCACTCACCTTTCCGCTGGCCTGTGCTCGAATCTAATATCGGTCCCGAAGGGGTTTGGTCAGAGAGAAAGTTCAGCCTTCTGCAGACCCTTGCAACGTTTCGTGGCCAGTACAGCAATTCTGTGTTCATCCGTTTGTATGTGTCCTCTGATGACAAGATGTCCAACGAACACATCTTGAAGGTACAGTGAGGACTCGTTCATCATGCTTGTTCAGTCCAAGGTTAGCCTTTTGGGTTGCCTTCCCAGGGATAAAGACTCATATCACCTTAGTGAAATGATCAAGTTGAAAATTCTGTGAAATCTTAAGATCTAGACTATTCTTTGCCAGGTTTACAGATTGTAAATCATGAACAAACTGGTTATGCCAGCTTTTCAAGAAGCCAGTGAGTGAGTTTCAAGTGATCTGTGATCTGGCCGTTAAATATCTACCCTGAGCATGTGTGGGACCCCTTAATTCCAGTGGGGAGAGGTGGGCTGAGACTTTCTGAACTCTGCTCTTCCCCTCCCCTCATTCCTCTGACAAAGGAGTGAACACATGCTCTGGTTCCTCATTTTCCTTTCACTAAGATCTTGTGTACATGCCCAAAATTTCATTGTCAAGTTCAGTGTTGAATCTTTTGTCCTTCCTTTCAGAGGACAAGGCAAAACTTGTTCTAAGAGCTTGGTTGCATTTTCTGTTGGGAGAGTAATCTCTTCCATAAAGGAATGGGCCACGAGGACATACCCTGAGGTGTGAACTATGACACTGGAAAGTCATACTGGAAAGTCAGGAAATCGTCAGAAAACTGCCAACAGCAGAAGATTCATCAGTCAGAGAACTTGGCAAGAATGCAAACAGCACTTCTTAAATTGTTTTGTCTTTTGATTCCATTTTTTTTTTCGCTTCTACAATCCCTTTAGTAATGAAAATTTTGTTGAGCCACCGATTTTTCTCCCCCATTCTGTTCTTTGTTAAATCAGGAAATATTAGTGATATATTGATACATTTTATTGGAGTAGAGCTGTTTTGCACTGCTGTGTCAGTTTCTGCCATATAGCAAAGTGAGTTAATCAGATGTGTCCGTATATCCCCCGTTTTCCAGATTTCCTTCCCGTTTAGGTCAGTGCGGAGCCCTGAGTCAAGTTCTCTGTGCTGTACAATAGGTTCTCATTTGTTCACGCATGCTCAGTTGTGTCCGACTCCATGGACTGTAAGCCAGGCTCCTCTGTCCATGGGAATTCTCCAGGCAAGAACACTGGAGTAGGTTGCCATTTCCTTCTCCAAGGTTCTCATCGGTTATCTACTTTTTACATAATAGAGGATGCATGTCAACCCCAATCTCCCAGTTCACCCCACCCTCTCTCCTTTCCTTGTTATGTTTGTTCTCTACATCTGTGTCTCTGTTTCTGCTTTACAAGTAAGATTATACCACTTTTCTAGATTTCATGTATGTGCATTAATATATGATATTTGTTTTTCTGACTTCACTCTGTATAACAGTCTCTAGGTCCATTCATGTCTCTGCAAATGGCACAATTTCTTTCCTTTTTATGGCTGAGTAATATCCCATTGATATATGTACCATAACTTCATGATCCATTCCTCTGTTGATGGACATTTAGGTTGCTTCCATGTCCTGCCTGTTGTAAATAGTGCTGAAATGAATGCTGGGGTGCATGTATCTTTTTGAATTACGGTTTTTTTCTGGGTATATGCCCAGGAGTAGGATTGCTGGGTCATGTGATAGTTCAATTTGGTATATTAAATCATATAAATATAAAAACTTTAGAATATATTATTCTCTCCTGATATAAGTTAAGTTTAAAAAATCTGTATGCTGGAGTTTATTTTTTTATTAATACCAAGGGACTGGCAAATGTTTTTCTGTAAAGGATCAGATAGGAAATATTTTAGGCTGTGTGGGCTATAATGATCTCTGTCTCAACTGTTCACCTCTGCTGTTTTATGTGGTAAAGCAGCCATAGACAGTATGTACATAAATGAGGATGGCTGTATGGTGGGCTGGCCCGCAGACTGTAGTTTCTCCATCTCTGATTTAGACAATGGCCACCTCAATAAAAATCTTTAGTCATTGAAAGAATTCCCATCTTCTCAAGAGGAAATTGTTATTTGCAGAGACAGCTGTATTTTTGTGTTGGGTGATGGAACAACAGCATGGCACTGAGAATATTCTAATACTCTCAGCATAAGACATGTTCTTCAGTGCTCTATGATGATGGTGATGGCCCAACTGACCTCTGTCCCATGTTGACAGATTACTCACTTAAAACAAACAAACCAACTAACCATGTTTTAAGACTGTCATTCTTGGTAACTTCCCTGGCAGTCCAGTGGTTAAGACTCCCTGCTCCCAGTGTAGGGAGTTTGCCTGATTACCTGGCTAGGAAACTAGGATCTCACATGCCATGTGGCCTAAAAAAAAACATACTTTTGTTCTTAATTTCAGGATATTGTGATATCCTTTGCAAATACATTAAGTGGTATTTTTAAAAAAATATATTTTATTTTTTTAATTAGAGGATAATTACTTTACAATATCATGATGGTTTTTGCCATATATCAACATGAATCAATATTAGGTATACATATGTCCCCTCTCTCTTGAACCTCCCTCCTACCTCCCTCCTCATCCCACCCCTCTAGGTTGTCATAGAGCACTGGCTTTGGGTTCCCTGTGTTATACATTGAACTCCCACTGACTATCTATTTTACATATGGTGATGTATATGTTTCAATGCTATTCTCTCATATCATCCTGCCCTGTCCTTCCCCCACTATGACCAAAATGTCTGTGTCTCCAAAGCAACAAGTAACACACAACAGGATCCCCATAAGGCTAGCAGCTGGTCTTTCAAGAGAAATCTGCAGGCCAGAAGGGAATGGCAGGATATACTTATAGTGATGAGAGGGAAAAACCTACATACAACCAAGATTACTCTATCCAGCAAGGATATCATTCAGATTTGAAGGAGAAATCAAAAGCTTCATAGACAAACAAAAGCTGAGAGAATTCAGCACTTCCAAACCAGTTCTTCAACAAATGCTAAAGGAACTTCTCTAGACAGGAAACACAGAAAAGGCCTAGAAAAGCAAACCCCAAATAATAAAGTAAACAGGATCATACTTATCACTAATTACCCTAAGTGGTATTTTGAAGTAAGTTAATTTTCAGTTTTGCTGATTGTCCTCTAAAAAAGTTAACAGTTGGTCTTTGATTCAGGTTCCAAATAAGAATCACATGCACATTTAGTTGATATATCTATTTTAATCTACAGCATACTAAATTTGACTGATTTCAGGGTAACCTCATACCTAATGAGAGAAAATTCTTGTTTATAGGAGAATCACAGCTTTAAAAGGCAGGAGAAATAATAGAACTTCAAGATTCACTTCAGTTCAGTTGCTCAGTCGTGTCCAACTCTTTGTGACACCATGGACTGCAGCACGCCACACCTCTCTGTCCATTACCAACTCCCGGAGTTTACTCAAACTCATATTCATTGAGTCAGTGATGCCATCCAACCATTTCATCCTCTGTGGTCCCTTTCTCCTCCTGCCTTTAATCTTTCCCAGCATCAGGGTCATTTCAAATGAGTCAGTTCTTCATATCAGGTGGCCAAAGTATTGGAGTTTCAGCTTCAGCCTCAGTCCTTCCAGGAAATGAATATTCAGGACTGATTTCATTTAGGATGGACTGATTGGATCTCCTTGCTGTCCAAGGGACTCCTAAGAGTCTTCTCCAAGACCACAGTATTTCTTCGCTTTCTGCCATAAGGGTGGTGTTATCTGCATATCTGAAGTTATTGATATTTCTCCCAGCAATCTTGATTCCAGCTTATGCTTCATCCAGCCCAGTGTTTCTCATGATGCACTCTGCATATAAATTAAATAAGCAGGGTGACAGTATACAGCCTTGACATACTCCTTTCCCGGTTTGGAACCAGTCTGTTGTTCCATGTCCAGTTCTAACTGTTTCTTCCTGACCTGTATACAGATTTCTCAGCTTTAAAAGGCAGGAGAAATAATAGAACTTAAAGATTATCATTTTTAAAAATCCCTAATGAATAAAAGGATCAAAGCAACTGTCATCAATGGCTGCTAAAACTATTAAATGAATGGTTGATGGGAAAATTCAGGAGAGAGCAGACTGATATCAGATGAACCCAGATATCAGTGGTAGGCCATTGCTAAAAGTGACAACCAGATTTTGTGTGCCTTCTGATACTATGCAGTGGGAAGCATAAGCTATCACCAATGATGTCAAAAGAAAAAGAAAAAAATGAACTTGGGTCTAATCAAGCCTGTAGTTTGAATCCCAGCTTATGGGAAACATGAGTAATAGAGGATCACAATAATAAATTTTTAACAGCTTGCCTTGCACACTTATTCAACTAAACTGATCCTAGAGACACTGAATTGTCAATAATAGAACACTTTCCAAATGGAAGGAGGTACTCATGTGCTTACTACAGCTCTCCTCTGCCAGGGTGGCAGCTTCTTCCAAACTGATGTGTCTGAGCATGGTCTGGCGTTTGAGTGCAGTGTGTGTTTACTTTAGGTATATCCCTGTTCATACCATTTTGTATGAGGGGCTATTCACACACCTGAATTAACAGGTTAGAGCTACAGTCTTTCTAACCATGACACAGCTGCTAGAAGTTCAAGCATGTATCTAGGTATTGGTAGGAACAGCTTTCTTCTTAGATCTGCATAAAGCCCAGTGAACCTGATAACAAAAACTAGCGTATCGATGGCTGCCAGTGTTGTAAAATTTGTGAGTGTTGCTTTTGTTAGAAGTGGTTAAAACTCTAAAAAAAATCTAACTGAATATTTGGAGCCCACGAAGCACCTTTTAAGTTTTGTGGAACGTAATTTGAAAACCACTACCATAGTGGGAAAAAGAGTAGGCTTTGGTGTTTAAAGAGATTGAGGCTTGGCTTTGTGACCCACTCACTGAGTGTCTTTGTGCAGGTTGTTTGACCTCTCTCAGTCTCGTTTTCCCCAGGTGTAATGAGAGGTTGATTTGAATTTACTTTTCACTGTTGCTCTGAGATTTAAATGGGGTGAACTTGCTGACAGTTCACAGGATAGATACTGGTGCACAGTAGCACGTGGCAAAAGGTACCTTTCTCTTAAATCATGATCAGGCGGCTTGACAGAACCATTTGGGGAATACTTCTCTTCAATCTTTGTGCCAAACATACATCTCAGATCTCAAGTTCAGATGCACAAGAAACAGGCATTTTCTTTAGTCAGTCTCATCTCTGTCGCTGAACTCCCACCCCACCTTCTAGTTGGAAAATGAGCCAGTCTAGACCCTTCCTCACTTGACAGCTACTTCATTTCTCAGCCTTCTCTTAGGGCAGCGATCCCCAAACCTTTTGGCACCAGGGACCAGGTTCTTGGAAGACCGTTTTTCCATGGACCAGGAGTGGGGGATGATTCAAGTCCATTACATTTATTGTCACTTTATTTCTTTTATGATTACATTAGCTCTACCTCAGACATCAGTCATTAGATCCTGGAGGTTGGGGACCCCTGTCCTAGGGGACTGGACATCTGATCATCAGTTATCTATTTCCAAAAAGAAACCTGCCATCCCAGCCCTTGTGGCCCCTTCAGGTGCGCCTCTCTGCTGCTGGGGCCCTGGGCCCCCCAGCTCCCTCTCAAATCCTGCCATTTTCTAGGGGCATTGACTGGTCCCTCTTCTCACAAGAAACTCTGACTTCTTTGACTGCCTCAAAGGTCTTCTTTCTGCTCTGGGAGAACTCTCTCTTACCTCTAAACCCTTCTCCCTCAATGCATTTAGACTTCCTTTTCCATCACATTCTATTGCTATTTTCCTCAATGTTCTAGGCTTTGCTAATCCCACAAACCCATGGGGATAAGGGAAAAAAAACTGCTTTGGTAAGGCACATCACTGTGGGCATACTCTTAGGTAGTATCTTTGGGTGAAGAAAAAAGGCACTCTTCCAATGGATATTCCCATGCTGAGGACATGTGGTTTGGCAAGCTGGGGCTGCTCAAAGCTACACGATGGTGCTCTAAGTTCCCTGGTGGCACGATGACACAGAATTTGCCACAGACTTAAATGGGAGAAAGGAAAAACAAAAATACACGAGATGGCAGATTAATGCCTCAGAGCATATCTTGCTACATGTGTTTGGCTTCATTTTGTGTAAGGAGATGGCAAGAATGAGGATTTAAAGGACAATAAAAGACTTTGGAATGTCTGTGGTCCTGAAAGAGTGTTTGGAAGGTCAAGGTTGTGTCAGTATGTGTTACCAGAACAGTGACTTGAAGTGACCATCCCCCAGTGGCCTGCATTTGTGCGACTCTTAGTAAAATCTGTAAGGATGATAAGGACAGACTTTCCTGGAGATAAAGTTTTTGTTTTTTGTGCTATAACTACACCATAATGTGTGAAATGTTTCTTCTTGTATTACTGTTTTGTTTCCTAACCTGTGTGTTGTTTCAGTCAGAGAAAAAAGTTTATAATTTAGTTCGGGGTATCAGATTTCCTAAACATGTATTTTGTTTTCTACTTGCAATATTAAGATCAGTTACAAATGCATGGATTAAAAAACCTAAAATAACATAGTATCCTAATATTGGCCTCTTGAGAAAGTCTTTTGCCTCAAGCGTTTGTTTCTAATTTCAGTTGACTAACCTTATTCAATCAGTTTCATATATTTAAGAGGTTCCCTCGGAACTGTAGCAATCTGAAGATTTAAAACAGGTCCGGTAACTTCACTTGAATGGTCTAAACTTTTACAATAAATAGATTTAACTTCATTTCATCAGAGGGAAGCTTTGGCTTTCTTGATATTGTCTACACAGTTTCCTTTCCTTTGAGACTAAAGCTCAAAAAATTCTCCAAGTGGTTCAACTCTAATTGAAAGCCAAATCATCTTAATCATAATATTGTGTTTCATGTTCCTGGCTTACTTAATTTTTGGAAGAAAGGGTGGTGTATTGGGAATTGGAGTATGATGAAGCCAGGCTGGCTTGTGACTTAGTTGTTTGGGGCCAATTAGAGAAGAAGATTGAACACAATAATTTGAGGTTTTTAGCAATACACCCAGGCAAGGTCGATGTTATGAAAACATCTTTTCCCCCCAGTTAGCTTAACTTTTTAAATGTGTGGATAAGATTTAAGGTAGAAAATTTGATGTCAGGTTCAGTTTTATTCAGTCTTTGGGCGGTTGCTTATACTCAAGAAAGAACAGCCAAAAAAAAAAAAAAAAAGAAAGAACAGCCAGAAATTTAGAGGAAGTTCTGGAACTTTAAAATTTTTATGTATTTAAAATTTTACTAACAGTTAAATTCACTTTTTGTGAAGCTCAAGTCTGTAAGTTTTTACAAATGCATGGAGTCACAGAATCACCACCATAATCAAGACAGACAATAGTCCGTCCCGTCACTTCCCCCAAATTTGCCTTGCGTTGCCCTTTTGTAATCATCCACTCTCCCCATCCCCTGTTCTCCATCCCTGTAGTTTTGCCTTTTTGGGGGATGTGATTAAAATATGCCCATATTGTTGCATGTATCAGTAGTTAATTCCTTTTTATGGATGAGTAGCACAGTTTATACATTTGCCAGTTGAAGGACATTTGGGTTGTTTCAGAATTTTGGCAATAATGAATAAAGTTACATGTGGGTTTCTGTGTGAGTATAAGTTTTCATTTATCTTTGGTAAGTGGCTGGGAAATGATATTGCTGGGTCATATGTACATTCAGTTTTGTAAGAAACTAGCAGACTGATTTCCAACGTGACTCTGTCATGTTGCGTTCCCACCAACACTGTATGAGTGAACTAGTTTTCCCACATCCTCACCAGTACTTGGCATTATCAGTGTTTTGTTTTTTTGGCCATACCAAGAGTCATGTGGGAACTTAGTTCCCCAACCAGAGATTGAACCTATACCCCTTGTAGTGGAAGTGAGATGTCTTAACCATTGAACTGCCAGAGAAGTCCCTGACATTATCAGTGTTTTTGTTTTTTGTTTTTGCCATACTAGTAGATGTATAGTGGTATTTTACTGTGGGTATCATATACATTTTCTAATGACTAGTGATTTTAAGCATGCTTTCATAAATTTATTTTCCATTTGAATATTTTCTTGGGTGAAATGTCTGTTCAGATCTTTTGTCCAGTTTTAAATTGGGCAGTTTGTTTTTTTATTGAGTTATGAGGGTTCTTTATATATTCTGGATGCAAGTCCTTTGTCTTATATGTGATTTTCAGATATTTTCTTCCTATCTGTAGCTTATCCTTTTTATTCTCTTAACAATGTCTTTCACAGAGCAAAAATGTTTAATGATGATGGGGTCCAATTTATTTTTTCTCTTATGAATCTGATTTTGGTGTCATATCTAAGAAACTCTTTGTGTAACCCCAGGTCAAAGATTTTCCCATATGTTTTTTTACTGCAAGTTTTATTTGTTGTTGTTGTTCAGTCTCTAAGTCATGTGCGACTCTTTGCGACCCCCTGGACTGCAGCACTCCAGGCTTCCCTGTCTTTGACTATCTCCCAGTGTGCTCAAATTCATGTCCATTGAGTCGGTGATGCCATCCAAACATCTCAACCTCTGTCCCCCCTTCTCCTTTTGCCTTTCATCTTTCCCAGCATCAGGGTCTTTTCCAATGAGTCATCTCTTTTGTCAGGTGGCCAAAGTAATGGAGCTTCAGCTTCAGCATCAGTCCTTCCAGTGAATATTCAGGGTTGATTTCCTTTAGGATTGACTGGTTTGATCTCTTTGCAGTCCAAGGGACTCTCAAGAGTCTTCTCAACCACCACAATTCAAAAGCATCAATTCTTCAGTGCTCAGCCTTCTTTATGGTCCAACTCTCACATCCATACATGACTACTGGAAAAACCATAGCTTTGACTATACAGACCTTTGTTGTCTAAGTAATGTCTCTGCTTTTTAATATGCTGTCTAGGTTTGTCATAGCTTTCCTTCCAAGGAGCAAGCTTCTTTTAATTTCATGGGTGCAGTCACCAATCCATAGTGATTTTGGAAGTTTTATATTGTTAGGTTTTATATGTAGTTCTAGATCCATATCGTATTAATTTTTGTGCAGGTCATGATGTCTGGTTTGAGATTCATTTTTTTGGCAAATGGATATCTGATTATTCTAGCACACTTTTTTGGAAAGATTATAATCTTCTCTTTGATTACCTTTAAGGTGCTGAAAGTTTTAATTCAAGAAATTATGCTATAATTTTCTCTAATAATAATTATACATATTTAGTTGTCTGCTTATTATTTGTATTTTCATCACCTATTTCAAACTTTCCAGAGAGGGTTCTAAAGTTTGCAAAGATTTCTCAAAGCAAAATCACCTCTCTGGATTTTGTTTCTCTACCCATCAAATGGGGGGGGGGGGGCAGGAATCAGATAATCCTATTTCAAAGTCATCTAGCTTTGACACTATTTAGTATTGTTTAGAAACTCAAAAGTTTAGAAACCATGAATCAGGGAATCAGGGGCAGGTCTCTGATACTTGATAACTGTCATTGATTGCTGCAGCACCTGTTTGCTTTGAATTGTTTTAGTAATGGTGACACATGCTCAAAATATGGCAGGGATCCCGATTTCATGACTCATTAACATGGTACAGAAGAATTTTCAGTGCCAGCAGAATGCTTTGTTTTTTTGTTTCAACAGCTGGACCAAGCAGCGCTCTCCCTAGCCGTGAGGGAAGACTACCTTGATAACAGCACAGAAGCCAAGTCTGTAAGTTTTCCTCAAACAACTCTGCATCTTGTCAGACACTGTGAGGTTCATAAGTTGTTCTAAAATCCCTAACTCTTTACTCGAATGGAGCAGTGTGAGTGTTTGACGACCATATTCCTAATGTAGGAAGCAAAGGCCTTTGCTTTGGGCAGATAAATGGCCCTCCCTGTTTTCTGGAAGTCTGGAAATGAAGGCTGAGCACTCTCTGTGCTCAGTGTCCTTATAGGTGAGCGGGGAAGACGGCACACCAAGTGTGGTACCCAAGGAGTGGTCTTGCAGCCAGCCTTCAGAAGTATGGACAGCTCTCAGTATATTGCAGAAGTGTGGGAATGGACACCTAGTTGACCAGCGGGTCCCAAATTGTATTGCTTAAGAATCACCTCAGAAGCTTCTATTATGTTGATTCTTGGGCCTCAGCCATGGAAAGTCGGATATAGTAGACTTGAAGTGGGGCCTAGGAATCTGTTTTTTTTTTTAATTGGTGCCCCAGGTTAACATAAGGTTAATGAGAACCAGATGGGATCAATCCGCTCAAACTTCTTTTTTGGCTTGGAAACCTAGTCATTTCCTGGAGATTGGATTAGAGCTGGTTTATTCCTGACACTTTGAATTCATTTTGGAAGCTTTGTTGAACTTCCAAGGGAGCCTCAGGCCCGGGGGACCCTTGACCAGGGAGGCTCGGGTTTCTGGCCTGGCCTGAGAGTGCAGGGACTTTGATGCGGGAAGTGCTGGCTCTCATGGAGTCTCCGCTCCTTTGCTGATAGGAAAGCCTGTATTTAGAAGGCTCTGAAGGGCAGGGTCCTCAGCGACTTTCTGGCTGAGGACGCTCATCAAAAAAGGTTGGCAAGTTTTCCTTCTTGAAATTGGACAGAATGAACTTTTACCAGTCTGGAGGCACTTCTGTTTCTACTTGGGTCACCACCTGATATGCAGCCATGCTTGAAATGCTGTCCCCGCCCTGTAACCAGGCAGTCTTGTAGACTCTGCCTTCAAAATATCTCTTCCCCCCTGGTGCCTCCTTTGTCTCCCTACTGCCCTAGGGCAGATCCTTGTTGAGTCTCCTTTTAACTATTCCCTCCTCCCCTTCATTCCATTAGCTCCTTAGCACCACTTGGCAGGCTCTCAAAGTACATCTCCCAGTGTGCTTTTGCTCACAAGTTAGACTCTGTATTCCTTAGAGGGAGTTCAAGGCCTCTATACAACCTAGTCCCAAACCACCTTTGCTGTCTCACCTATCTTTATTCTTCCCCCAAAAAAGGCAGCTCACACACCTCTCAGAAGGATGCCCCTGCTCCTGAGTCTGTCCCCTTGAAAAAACTCTCTCCCTGGTTTCTTGAGGCTAGAATTCTCTAGTTCTTGAGTTTCCAAGCACTTAGCAGCTTTATTAAAGACTTTATTTTGGTGTTGCTAGTGTTATAGTTAGTAATGACGTGTTTATCTCCCTCACAGGATCACACACTGGGAACTAGACTTAAGCATTATTTAATTTTTCATCTGTACTTCCCCCGTGTGCACAGAAGGCCTAGCAAGACATCTTGCATATGTGTTGATCGAATAAATATTTTTGGAATTTAACTGAAAATTGCGAAACATTTCTAATTATGACTATCTGTGAGGCTTGCTTACTGATTCAACAAATATTTATTAAGGGCCTGCTATATGCCAAGGTCTTGGAGTCATAAGCATTATAAGAATAGCTTTGCAGAATCAAGGTGTATATTAGGGAATCTTATTCCCATAGCAAAACTATGAAACAGTTTAATAACTGGTGTATTGAGTTCTTAAAATGTACCTGAAAGGAGAAGGGACCTACCCCAACCCCCTGACACACACACACATGATTCCTCAACTCCCACAAAGTAAGGTCTTCCTCTCCAATAGTATGTGAATAGTCTGAAAATGGGTTCCTGAACATGCAGCAAGGAACTTCTGCATTTTCTCGGTTTCTCTTCATCATTCTTCTCATCTTTCCTTTCCTTTCTCCCTGAGCTAGTGAGAAGAATGTGGTAAAAACCCTGCAAAATGGAAAAAAACATTCAATTGCTGGTCTTTTGTTTTTAGTGTGGAGATGGGTAAATTGAGCTGGAAGAAAATAAATCACAGTTCCCACTAGTCTTCATGGATCATGCCTCCTGCTCTTAGCAACCAGTTCTTTCCCATTATTTTATTAATATTAAAGCCTCACTTGCCTGGAAAGGGGAGTCTGGACTCATTTGTAGATATTTCATATATCCTTAATATTACCGGTTGCCAGAAAACAAGTTCTCTTGATTCTTGGTGGCCGGACATTTCTACCTGTCATGGAAACAGTACTCAAGTAGCCATCATTCTTCTTTGTCCCAAAATGGTAGATGAGTGGTTGGTATTTCATAATGTTCATACCATACTTTGAGTACAGAGTGAAAATGATGGGCATTTATTTCCACCTGCTGTTTCTGCTCTTCTGTGTTCCTCAAACATACTTCCCTAATAGACTCTTGTCATGGTCCCTTGCTTCTTTATCTCTTACAGTATCGGGATGCCCTTTACAAGTTCATGGTGGATACTGCTGTGCTTTTGGGAGCTAATAGCTCCCGAGCAGAGCATGACATGAAGTCGGTACTTAGGTTGGAAGTCAAGATAGCCGAGGTAAGTCTTCATCTAAAATCTTTTTCTTTTCCTTCTCCTTATTTTAAAGGTGATATATCTTGCATGAGAATATATATAAAAATAAAAAATCATTCTGTGGCATTGTCCTTTGGGTCCAAGATAGAACTCATAGCACCCTGCTCTGGGAAGTAGCAGAAAGAAAAACCATAACAGATAGAAGAGCTCTTCTTCCGCCTCTGCTTGAAGCCCAGTCAGCGTCCACATGCTCCTCAGCGGTGGACAAAGAAAGCAGCAGGGAGAGGCTCTCTCTGTTTTCCCAGGGAAATGCCTGTTTGGCCTCAACTGAAGAATATGAATCTGATAAATCCATATGAAATTGGCTTAAGTGGAAGGTTATTTTTAATCTAGTTTACTCTTGACACCATTCCTATGCAGAATCAGTCTCATCTAAGATTGAGGCTTTGGGAAGTCTAGCCACATAATTTGATGTAGAAAGTGTATAGGGCAAGCTGGTAAGCATGTATTAGTTCTTATACCCAACCCTGGCTTTCATTCTTTTCTTGCCCCACTTTCATGAATGTCATTGTGTCATATGCTGTGTTCTGTGTAAGTCACCTTTTAAATTCTTTCAGGCTCATGGTGGAGATAAAAAGACCTAAGAACAAACTTGAGGGAGACTAATGAGAAGTCCTAAATGGTTAGCTTTGTTCAAAGAATAACTTTTCTAGAAGAACCAAAGTATAAAATCTTTATATGTTCTCAGGACCGGACGGAACAGATATGATGAAATCTGCTTGGGGAGATACACTGTAGTGAAAAAAAAAAAACTTTTATCAAGAAGAGGTTGTGTATTTGTTGGTGAAGTGAAGTGAAGTGAAGTGAAGTCGCTCAGTCATGTCCTATTCTTTGTGACCCCATGGACTGTAGCCTACCAGGATCCTCAATCCATGGGATTTTCCAGGCAAGAATACTGGAGTGGGTTGCCATTTCCTTCTCCAGGGGATCTTCCCGACCCAGGGATTGAACCCGGGTTTCCCGCATTGTAGGCAGACGCTTTATTGTCTGAGCTACCAGGGAATCCCTGTATTTGTTGGTCGTCTTTTATAATAGAAGTTGGTAAAAATCTTGAAGTGCTTAGGAGTCCAAGCGCTGTTTGGTTTTGTGTTTGGCGAGGTGTGGTGGGGTGGCAAGGTGGGAGCAGGCTGATGGATAGGGTCTGGAGGAGTCAGCCTCTTGGCTGGCGTGGTGTACATGTGTGTCTTTCTCCAGACCCCCTAGTGGCAGCACACACAGTTCCTTCCTCTGTGTCACCTTTGAAGACAGCAAAGACTGCGGCAGATGTTCTGGAGTCAAAGACTGGGCCTCTCCGCCGTGTCTAGAGGCCATCTGGATTCTCTTACCAGGCAAATCGGAGACCCAGAGACCTCATTTGGACTGAAACTCTGATACAGCGGGAAAAGGCCTTGCCCTGAGCCAGGGATCTGAACCAAAAAGGGAACTCAAAACAGCTGGGCCGAGGCAAGACTGGGAATGGTCAAGAGGCTAAATGAAGTGACAAATCCGTGGGGTGGAGGAAGGAGCTGGCAGAGAGCTGAAAACAGCTCTAAGGCCAAAGGGCTCCAACCTGGGCCCATGAGTCTGAGTAGAGCGAGGAAGAGTGTGGACATTCTCTGAAGCGGTGATTGAAATGGAGGCATGAGGTTGCCTGTGAGCTACAGGAAGTCTCTCCCATGGGTGGTGAGGAGGGAGAAGCTGAGGGCACTGAAGAGAAGAGGAGGCGGATGTCTGCCACTCAGCCTTCTGTGATTTTAGCTTGACAAATCCTGGGCGCTTGGGTTTTTTGCCAGCTGATAATACTTGTCTCTGTATCTTACATCCCAGGTCACTAGGGACCTTCAGAATTAGTGGGGTACATCATCCCAGGCAGACATCTAAAGCTGGGGAGACAGGACAACTTCACCAAACCCCCCAGAAGTCCTTGTAAACACAGCCATGGAAGTGTGCATTCAGCTAATCCCAACTAGAGAGATGTATGCCTAAGGGGAGGTCGTGTTGATGGCATGGTCCTTGGGATTGGAGCCAAGTGGAGTTTAATTGGAAAGACTTGCAACAGAAAATGGATCACAAGCAAAGTCTTGACTTATGGCTCAAACCATGAGGGTAGTGATGGTGGACAGGAGTGCAAGGGTGGGAGAGTCCTGTGTGAGTTGGAAGGTGACAAGTTTAATGCAGGGGAATCAGATGATGGAGGGCCTTAAGGCAAAATCATGATGTGTTGAGCAGTATGAGGAGCTACTCCCTGTCTGCAGAAGTGATTAAGATGACCCTTGAGGAAGATGATCATTGCTGCTCCTCTCAGATTAAATATGGCAGAGCCTAGAACCTTCGATTTGATGTTGCCAAAATTGCCAGGAGCACAAGTGTTGGGAAGAAGGAGTGTGAAGGGTCAGGGCTGGAGAAGCAGGTGTGGAAATATGTCTGGGTGGTAACTGATCCCATACACCTAGCAGTGGGGCCAGGGAAATCTCCAGGCCAGAGAAACCAGAGGGGAGAAGGGAAGTGAGGGATGGAACTGTTGACAGAACGATCACTGGTGGCAGTGCTGTTCAGATAGTCTAGTGCTCTTAGTGAGAACATTCCCCTGGTAATGAAGGGGTGGTCTGTAGTTTATGAACTGTAGAGGTTCTTACCTGGATACTACAGGTGGACTGGATGTTTGTCTCAAATTGCCTAATCTTAGCATGGCTATCTACCCCAAGCCAGTAGTAGATTTCGTCCATCCACATGAAAGGTTAGGGAGGGATTCGAGTAGTTATTTTTGTACCAAGTCCAATGTTTCACACTGAACAGGAAAGGAAAGTTTCTTTTTATTTTCTTAATCCTGCCTAAAGTGATTTTTTTCCCCCTCCTCTCTCCCAGGTTCAGCACCACACCAAAATCTTGAAAAAGTTTATGATACTATACAGATGTTTTGACACATGTAGGAAGTAGTTATGCAGTTAGAAATGGTTTGTTTGAAAAAAATAACCAAAGTCTCTTTCCACCAGATAATGATTCCGCATGAAAACCGAACCAGTGAGGCCATGTACAACAAAATGAACATCTCCCAGCTGAGTGCTATGATTCCCCAGGTTAGTGAAAGCAATCCAGGAAATTGTATCTCAGCTGGTCATTTGATAAGCAATTCTATCTCACCTGTGTGTAAAATTTTGCCTCATAAAAGCTCATTGATCTTGCTCATCGCCATCTCTGTCAGTCATCACATAAAATATCCCTTGTCTATGCATTGGGATGCTGTCTGCTCTGTGGAACAGAAAACTTTTCCAAGAGTGGCCTAAAAACTTAAAGCCTATTTCCTTATATAGACAAAAGTCTAGACATAGGTTGCTGTTGGTGTTGGTTTAGCTGTTGCCCAACGTTGTCAAAGATCCAAGTTCTTTCTTTCCACTCCACTCTTTTTAGGTGTTGGCTTTTTGACTGCATATTTGATGACTCAGGGTCGTAAGGTGGCTGCCGTAGCTGCATATGTCACATCTGTCCTCAGAGCAGGAAGAAGGGGCAAGCCCCAGTATGGGCCATGTTTAACCCTTCTACCAGGAAAAACCAAAGCCTTTCCATGTGTCATGCCTTTATTTCTTACTGAGTAAAACTGGGGCATGCGGGACTCCCTTCTTACAGGGTAGGCTGGGCAAGTGAGTGACTGGCTTTCCATTTCACTAGTGGAGGCAGGCAGGGGAGCAAGGAAAAGGAAAAACCTGGAAAGGACTTTGCAGGTAGCCAGGTCAAAACGCCGAGACAGTGATGCTACGAAGGGGAGACACGTGTTACTCTGTGTTGTTGTTTGTTTCCCTCTGTGTAAGAAAGGCTGTGCCAGGGGGAGAACCGGAAATGCCGCGGGGCATCTATGTCTATGGGGACGGGAGAGTAAATGAGCACGGAATGGGGCCGAGTGCAGGGAGGAGGGAGGTGAGTGCTACTGCAAGAGGGATGGAGAGAGAGAGAGAGCAGGAGCGAAGGTGGGAGGAGGAGAGGGGAGGATGAGAGTGCAGGAAGGGCTAGGGGCGTGAGTGCATGTGCTGCTGGGTGAGTATGTGCGCACATGTGTGGTCCATACAGAGATGGCACAGAACACATGTTCCATTGATGATTCAGCCAGCAAGTCTGGTCTGGGTGGCAGTGATCAGGCATTTATCTTCTAGATTTGAGCAGTTGCATATTTATTTGGTCTGAGATCACAAGCCATGGATTACATTCTGCTGACTCTGGTTGCCTTTCTCCTTTTTTGTTCCCCAGCAAAGGTTCTCTCACTGTGTTTTTTTTTGTCTTTCTTTCCTCAGTTTGACTGGCTGAGCTACATCAAGAAGGTCATCGATGTCAGACTCTACCCTGAACTGAAAGACATTGGCCCCTCAGAGAACGTGGTGGTCCGTGTCCCTCAATACTTTAAGGATTTGTTTAGGATATTAGGCTCTGAGAGGAAGAAGTAAGAGCTTTCTTGTGCATTTTACTGTGACTTTTATTTTTCCTTTGAAATTATAAGATCATCCCCCTCGTGTCCTTTGAAAACTGTTTTTTAGAGAAAGTTACATTAAAAAAGTCTTGGGAACATCTTTAAATCTTATCAAATTCAATATAAGTAAAATTGGATTTCATCCTTTCTCCTCAAAACTGTAACTTTCAACAAGTAAATATCAGGAGTTGTTTTATAGCTAATGACTTGATATCTTAAAATCCTAGAACCACCACTGTAGCAAAAGGTGGAAAAAATATAAAATATACTGAGTTTTGACATTAAAAAAAAAAGTCTTGGGGAAACGTGTGGTGTCCTTAGTGACAAACGAGCCAAGACCATCATCTGGTGTAGTTTATTTACTACGATGACAACAAATATACAATGTTTTTGCCCCTTATTTCTGATCTTTCTCCATATTCCCTCTGATAACCTAAATTGTTTATTAGTTTTGGAAACTAGTTATATAGTGATGTTATTTTTTGAGACTTCTATATGAACATCTTTGTTTTCTCCTAGTTCATTCTTGATCTTGGGCTGTTTTTTCCTTCCTTCTTCTCTTAAGCCAATAAGTCACTTTGTGTCAATAAACCAAAGTACCAATACTGAAAAGACTTAAGACCACTCAGAAAGCTGTAGAAAAATTAGACTGGTGAAAGAATGTCAGGGACTGTTGGGTTTTTCTTTTTTTAAACAATATTTTGGAATTTGGTGCTTTGTTCCTTTGGCACTACAAAGCAAGGAAATTCTAAAAATGTCCAGGAAAGATAATTTTTTAATTGACATATAGTTGATTTACATTGTTGTGTTAATTGCTGCTGTAAGCAAAGTGATTCTGTTCTATCTATATGTACATTTTTAAATATTCTTTTTCATTGTTGTTCATCATAGGATATTGACTATAGTTCTCTGTGCTGTACATAGGACCTTGTTGTTTCTCCATTCCATATATAAAAGCTTACATCTGCTAACTGCAGCCTCCGACTCCATCTCTCCCCCAACCCCTTCCCCCTTGACAACCATTAGGCTGTTCTCTATGTCTGTGATTCTATTTTTATTTCATAGATAGTTTCATTTGTGTCATATTTTAGATCAGGAAAGAGAATTTTGCAGCCTCATGAAGCCATTCAGATTTGACTACAGAAAATGAAGCACAGGAAGGTCAAATAGCTCACAATCACAGTTTAATAGGTCAATTGCTGGACCATGATTAAAAATCATATTTTCTTTTAAAAAATATTTGTTTGACTGTGTCAGTTGACTATGTCAACTGTGTCAGTTTGACTGTGTTAGTTGCAGCATATGGGATCTAGTTTCCTGACCAGAGATCAAACCCAGACCCCCAACATTCAGAGCATGGTGTCTTAGCCATTGGACCATCAGGGAAGTCCCCCAAATCACACTTAATTATTTGGACTTAGACAAGGTTATGTTGCCAGGAATTATGTGAAAAAAAGAGGCACCTGGAGAAGTCCTGGGAATAAAATTTATCATCCATCCCTACCTATGAAAACATTTAGACACTTTTGAAGAGCTCTTCTCTTTAAGGTGCTATTTTCTTATAATAAAAACAATGTGGTATTCATTGAAGAAAGCATACAGAAAAGTAAGCACACAGAAAAGGGAGAGTAGAAATAATAAATTCATTTCAGATTCTGTGTGGGGTGAAACCTTGATATCCCAAGTGTGATCTGTGGATCAGTAATGCCAACAGCATCACCTTGGGCCTCTGGTAAAAATACAGATTCCAGCAGTCCTCTTCTATACATCTGGAGCGAGGCCTATAAATCTGTATTTTAACAAGCACCCTAGGAATCTTATGATTAGTTTTTTTGGGAGATTCACTGCTTTAGAAACTTTTTCATGTGTACTTCCTAGCTCTGAAATTTTGTAAAACGACCCAAATGATTTTGTACTCCTATGCCATTGAGTTACTCAACACTTTTTAAACTATGGTGGTAATTTCTGTTGAAAGATGGAGTTTCCATGCTATGTATACATTCTCCAGAACTTAGTGAGTTGGTTTCTTCCAGTGTCTTGTGTTATCTTCAGTTGTAAATTAGTAGGTAATTTTTGAAAATTTACAAATTTTATTTCCACAAAAGCCTAATTTACAACCAGGGAATAATAGATTGGGCCTTGGTGTACTGTATTAGATAATCTCTCTGGTGGTGATTACGCTTTAGAAATGCAGGATCTGACATGACAAAAGGAGCCAAGAAAGACCATGACTGAAGGGAGATTTTAATCTGGTTCTTATCAAAATGATAGCTTAGATGTAAGCATAGTAAACCACAGTGGAAGAAACGTAAATAGAAAAATTAACTGCAGACATTATGTCCATAACATAAGATGATCTGCAGATATTTTGAAACTTCCAAATCTCTGTCACATTGTTTACTCTTTAGCAACCAATTCATCAAAAACAACTTGTATTGTGTGTATGTTTATGAGATTTCAGAACACTGTATGCTTCTTGAGAATTTTGATAACACTTTATTTGCATAGCACAGTAAGTTTTTTTAAAGACCACTTTTATTTATTTTTAAAGTACTTTATCTATTATTTATTTATTTTTGACTGTGTTAGGTTCTTCATTGTTTTGGATGGGGTTTATTTGCAGCAAGCAGGGGCTACCCTTTGTTGTTTTGTGTGATCTCGTTGTGGTGTCTTCTCTTGTTGTGGAGAACTGGCTCTAGAATGCATGGGCTTCAGTAGTTGTGGCACACGGGCTTAGTTGTTCCACAGCATGTGGGATTTTCCCAGACCAGAGATTGAACCCCTGTCCCCTTGTCCCCTGCATTGGCAGGCAGATTCTTATCCATTTCACCACCAGGGAAATCCCCACAGTAAGTTTTTTAGATCGCTAATCACCTTTGATCCTCTCCTTGGGTTGTAGCACAAGAGTGCTCAAGGAAATGTGCCCCTGGGTCCCCATAGTTACTTTATTAGTCAGGACATACCAGTCACTGTAGTAAGCACCTCTGCACTTATTGGTTTGTACGATTGTACCCTGTGCTCCTGGAACGTCCAGCTTGACTGTCCCTGTAAGGCAGCTTTCCTCCAAGTAGGGACTCAGGAACTCAGACTTCTTCCATCTTGTGGTTCTGCCTTCATCTGGCTTTTTGGAATCTTCTCCATTCAGCTGATGGATGGGGAAAGAGAGTAGAGGATTGCATAGGTGGTTTTATGGGAAGGCCTTGAAGTGGTATGTGTCCATTCTGTTGACCAGAACTCAGTCACATGACCAATTTAACTGCAAGAGAAGCTGGGAAATATAGCCTAGCATTGTGCCCAAGACCGAAATATCAAAGAAATTATCTAATTTTCTGGTTTGCTCCTCTCCCTCACCCCCATGAAACAGTGAGCATTTGATGGTGGACACTCCTGTAATTGTTTTTATAACATCATGGCCTGGTATGGTACTTCTCACATAGAAGATTCTTCCTAAAAATTTCTAGAAGTTAGCCAGATGGCCTCATGACCACTATCTGGGAGGTGACATAGAAGCAGGACTCCAAAGGATAAGGAGGAGTTTTCCAGGTAGGGGAGAGTGGAAAAGGAGGATGTTGAGCATGTTGGGTGATGGGACTAACATTAACCTGGATGTTGTCTTTAGGGGTTTCTGGACCTTCCTAGCAGTCCAGTGGTTGAGACTCTGCTCTTCCACTGCAGAAGGCATGGGCGTGATCCCAGGTCAGGGAACTAAGGCTCCACATGCTGTGCAGCATGGCCAGGAAAAGAGCGAGAGAGAGAGAAAAAAAGAGGCAACAGTTTCTGATTCAGTAGATCTTGGGGAAGGCCAAGGAATTCTCAGGTGATGCTGATGCTGCATACCTCTGGGCAGCCTCTAGGGTTTAGGAAGATCTCTTCAGCTTTGAGAACCTTTGAGAGGTACCTGTTTGGCTTACCTCAGGTGGTTTGGCTCAGAGAAGCAAATTCAAGTTGTGGAATCTGAAGATCCAGATGTTAGTCCTAGATTTGACACATGCTTAGAAGTCCTTTGACCTCAGATCTTTGTTTTATTTGTCTGAAAATTGGAATAATAATAACCATCCCATAGCATTGTCATGAGGCTCAGAGAAGATCTTTGTGATCTCTTAAATGCAATACAGTACAAATGTAAGCTGTCACTAATTGACAACAAGGGTCAGAAAAATCTTTAAAAAAAAAATCTTCCTCGTCAGAGGCTTTGGGAAGTGATTTCACGTTGCTCTCTTTGTGGTGGATTCTTTCTCTCTCGAGGCTCTGTTTTCCTCTACTTTATTGATTGCAATTTTGGGGAAATTACCATACTGCTGAAAATGCCTTTTGAAAAGAGAAAGATATTATGTGTTATTTTTAAGGACTATTGCTGAATCTTCTTTTTGTTTGGTTTTTGGAGCGTTAAGTGGCAGTCATTCAGTCATTCTGGTCAGATCTGTTCCTGGCGTGGTAATATAAGCACTCCAGAGCTGTGCTCCCCAGCGTTGTGTCAGTTTATTTATAATGCTGGAGCAGCTCATCAGTGCCATTGTCTCCCTGTGCGTGCCTCCCTGCTTCTGGCTTCTAGCCGTCAGAGGTCTTGTGCTGTGGACTTATAATGCCTTGCCTATGGAGGCCTCACACACTGTTCTTTCTTCATACCCACAGATTTTTGGAAAGTGCCTTTGTTGGAGGGTTTTGACTGGTCAAGAAATCTTTGTGGAACAAGAAGGGTTAATCTGTCCGTGTGTGGCATGGGGAAAAGCAGAGTCTTTCGAGTCAGGCATATCTTAGGCTTGTCTAGCCTTCTTTGCATTCCTCGTGGCATCTGGGAGGATACTTGGCCAACAGTAAGTGCTCAGTGAGCTCTTGGTGTCTTGCTCAGGATTAGGAATGTGAACTCAAAAGATCCAAAGGAATGACCTGAAACTACATGCTTATTACACCTGTTCTCCAACTTGGTTACATCCTGGACTTAGCTGGGGCGATTTAAAAATAATATTTGTCCTGGGTCTCAACCCAGAGACACTGATTGAATTAGTCTGGAGTGGCCTGGGCATCTGGCGATTGTAAGTTGGAGACCGACTGAGTATGAAAAGATCCTGAGGCATTACTTCATGGTTCTAGGCCTCAAGTTTCCTGTCATGTAAAATGCATATGAAGACATCTCTCCTGTAGTGGTGCTGTGGGAGTTAGAGGTAATATGAGATGCCTTAAGCAGTATGATTTTAAGGGAGCAGGAAAGGCAGAAAAATCTAATACCCCAACATATTTGCATCATGCTGTGTCTTTTACTGCCACCATCAGGCCCCATCCTAACAGCTTCCCCAGTTAATCTGGTGCATCACAACCACCTTGAGGGAATAGCTTTTGAATTCATGTAAGCATGTCTGCTTGCCATGGATCTCCTTTGAATCTGTACGTAGGGATCCAGCACAGCTCTCACACCCCAGAGGCAGTATTTTAAGGTTGAAGAGCCTACACACCTTGCATTAGGGTTGGTCTCTGCCCTTTTGATATTCTAGATATTGGACTCTAGTTGCTGCCTGCATCTTCCCAGCTGTAGCTGGCCTTTCTGCCCAGCTCTGTGAGTGATGAACTGGCTCATCATCCCCGCCCACACATAAGCTTTTCCTCCATTATTTTGCCTCAGAGAGGCTAAATTCTTGCTCCAGAGTTTATATTCCCACCCCACACTCTGAAGCCTTCAGGCCCGGGGCCTGTACCTCTCCTGAGGCCTACTCTCAGCCCTCAGTTTGAGGCAGGCACTCTCCCAGCCAACTCTCTGGCATGCAGTTGTGGGTGCTAGGGTCTGCCACATCATTGCTATGTGCTTGCCTGTTTCCTCTGCTCAGCTGAAAGCTCCAGGAGATCAGGGACTATAGCTTCCTCACCTTGCCGTCTGCCAGCACCTAGAACTATTTGTATGTATCAGGTGTTCAGGAGGTGCTGAATGAGCGAATGAAGGAACGATCCCTTATGTACTTACCATGTATCCCATTCAATGGAAAAACCCATTTCTATGAGCAAGCTGAAATCTGAAGTCCCATATCCCCCAGCTAGACTTTTAAATTCTCTGAATGTAGGCGTGAGTTCCTATTTCTTTGCATTCCTCGTGGCATCTGCGAGGATACTTGGCCAACAATAAGGGCTCAGTGAGCACTTGTCTTGCTCAGGATTAGGGATGTGAACTCAAAAGATCCAAAGAAATGACCGGAAACTACATGCTTATTATAGTGCCTCAGAAGAGCAAGGACAAGGGCTAGACTTTGCTGATGAGAGTGGCGGTCTCTGAGGGGAAGTGTGCATATACTTCAACAAGATCTATGGGGTCTGAGAAGAAATGTTTTTTGAATTTTTTGAAAAAAGTTTATTTCTTTGCTTCTGCTGGGTCTTCATGGCTGCACGGGCTTTTCTCTAGTTGCAGCAAGTGAGGGCTACTCTCCAGTTGTGGTGCACAGACTTTTCTTTGTGGTGGCTTCTCTTATTGTGGAGCGCAGGCTCTAGGGCACAGGGGCTCAGGAGTTGTGGCTCCTGGGCTCTAGAGCACAGGCTCAATACTTGTGGCGCACAGGCGTGGTTGCCCCATGGCATGTGAGATCTTCCCAGATCAGGGATCAAACCTGTGTCTCATGCATTGGCAGGCAGATTCTTTACCACCGAGCCACCAGGGAACCCCAAGGAGAGAATTTTGGAGCTTCTATGTATCATTCTTTCTATTGAAAAAATAGCTAGGCTCTACTAGTTTTGCTGTATAGATAGCCATGAACCCTTCATTTGATCTATATGCCACATACGAGAGTGGGCAGTGTTACCTTCACTGATTAGTTTTTATTCCATATATTGAAAATAATCTCAAATCATTTACATATACCTATATATTTATGAATTTTACTCTTGGTGTAATCCTCACAAAATGAGCAACTGATGTAAAAAATTCTTGTAGAGAAACAGGAATTGAAACTATTATAAATAATATAAGCACAAAGTGAATGGGAAGAAAATGTCAGAAGCGGCCCTTCTCCCACTCTAGTTATGCCATCTTGGTTGGCCAGATGACAAGATAAAAACAGTGGTGTTCTAACAAGATCTGGGAAGGATATGGTCGTAATATTTTTAAATAGTTAAGATGACTATATGGGATGCTGATTTACATTGACTGTTGTTGTTTTTACCTAATCCTATATGGATAGTGTGTATTGAAGAATTAACTAAAGGTGTTTGAAGGATTAATTAAGGACTTTGGAAAACATATTTATTTCATTTTCTCTTTCAAAATTTCTATTTCTATATTTGTTAAAGACATTCCTGATATGTTAGTCCATTAGTGTATCTCTATATAAATTAAAATAGCTATACATATGTTGGGTGTATACACCGAAATAGATTTAGTTGCTAAGAGTGAATGTCCACTGAGTTAGGATGCCATGCAAATGAGAGTGTGGGTTATTCTTGATTGGCCAGTTACCATCATCATGTCACACTGCTCTCACATGGCTGGCTGACCCGAAGAGCCATCTCAAGAATGTGTGTTATTAGTCACCATGGTAATGGCACAGCTGGGAGGGGATGGGTCATTAAAAATTCATCATCACTATTGAGTTGGAAATTAACTCAGATCACACATACTTTTGAGGTCAAGGTGCCTTTTGCTTACAGAAAAAGGCAGCAATTAAGGAAATGCAATGGATTTTTAAAAACATGTGTTGTGGATATTATGAGTGTATGGGGTTGTTTATGTGTTTGGAAGTGAACAACAATAAGAAAACCTGAAATTTACTCTGTCAAACATTTTGTTAGTTATTTTAACTTGACAATAACCCTGTAAGGTAGAGGTCATCCTCATTATATGACAAAGAAAGATGAAATCAATGAACTTAAGTGACTTGCCCAAACTCCCACTCTAGTAGGTATCCAACCAGGGTGCATATCTAGATAATTGGCATTAGCCAGTATATTGCATTTTGTTCTCAAAAGGTAAGAATCCATCTGCACTTTGTCAAGTTACCTAATAATTGGAAGGTATTGACAATTTCTAGGCATGAAAGCATGGATAACAGTGGACTCCATGTTGTGAGTGGGAAAGCAAAATGTTCATGCTGAGACCTGGGGTGAGAATTTTCATATCATATGTCTGCATTAGGTGGTGAAAAGCAAGCCATTTTTGGTTGAGCTTATTGACATTTTATCATCTGATGTCATTTTTCAAGTGAAAGTTCCACAGTTTTGTATGAGCAAAAGGTCCCTCCGTGGAGCTTTACCAACAGATTTTCCCAAGGTGTTCTGCAGAGCATCAGATATCAAGCTTAGTACAATAAATGCATTCTCTTTCTGTTAACAGGACCATTGCCAACTATTTGGTGTGGAGGATGGTTTATTCCAGAATTCCAAACTTAAGCAGGCGCTTTCAGTATAGGTGGCTGGAGTTCTCACGGGTAAGTTTTAAGAAGATTGCAGTGTTACATCACTGGATAACTTTACATGCCAGAACAGTCTGTATATTAACTAATCCAATAAAAATCATCTTTAGGGATTGGGCAGAGGGAGTTTTACAGCTCAAATTCTACTTTTTGGGGGCTTTATTTCTTTTTATTGAGGTAAACCTTACATACAGTAAAGTATATTCAAGCTCTTCTTTGATGAAGGTGTATAAAGATATTTAGGGCAATACTTGAGACCATCACGTTTTCACCCTCCCCTTCTTACCAATTTATTCCCCCTTCCCCCAGTGTTTTTAAGTGGGTCACTATAATTATAATTTTAATATTTCTTAGTGATATATTTGTAACTATCTTTTGTTTTCAGTATTCTCAATATTCAAAATATGCATGCTATATATATTAGATGGTAAAGTTTCATCTTTAATTTAGGGATAGTGTTTTGTCTCTAACTCTAGCTTGATCTTCAGTCTTTTTTTGCCTTTTTATTTCTTTTTCATTAGTGTTTGTCTTCTTAATTCAATCAAATTTATCCTAATTCTACTAGGCCAAAGAGGCCTAAATTTAGTCTCCTCTGAGATGTGGTTCAGCTGCCTAAAATGCTTTTCTTTTCCCCCTCCTCATCCAGCCCTGTGATCTCTGCTCCTCTCCCACACTTGTTCTCTTTAACTTACATGAGTGTCACTCTTAGTTTCAGAGGCTTTTGTCTGAGTAATTCTCTTACCAATACAGACTTAAGGGTTTTGTGGCTCTTTTTTTTTTTTTAACATTTTAAGAATTTTGGGACCTTAACAAATATTTTAAGTTAATTTTCTCTTAATTTATAGTTAAGTAATGGAAAATTTTGTAAGCTCTAATTTCATTTAATAGACATTTTAATTATTAGGGAAAATGGTAGCTAGAGAAGCTCTTAGTGGGTCATTGCTCTTGAGTAGTAGCACAATTATTTTGGATACATTTTGGCCCTTGAAGTCAGTAGGGTACTGAACTTGATAGAAAATATCATAAAACAACTACATATATTGAGGTCATATCAAAGGGTTAAGCTGTAAAACTAGTAGATTATATATATGTGTCTGTGTGTATTTTTAACTTCCGTGGATCACATAAAAGATGGTACCCAGCTGCTTTCCACCCCCACTGTGAAGAAAATAAGAGAAAGAGGTGTAAGAAGTAGTGTGTGAAAATTTGAGGTTAGGTATGAAGGGATGTTTCTTAAGCATAAAGTGCTAAATATAATACTGAATTGCCAAAGAAAGTTGTAGGATCTCTTTCTCTAGAAGTTTTAAAAATAGATTCATTCCTTACCTCAGAGAGTGGTTATGTTATCAGAAAGTAGAGGAAGAATAGATAAACTTCAGTGTTAATCACGTTTGCTCTGTACCTACAACCGGGGTCTAATATCATTCACCGGATGCCTCCAGCCACTGTTCTCAGAGCCTCCCCTTGCTGTCTACCTTTACTTTGCATTTTGAGCACTCCAAACTCCTAACCCACAGGGGCAACTTAAATGATATTTATTTCTTTGTCTTCAACCCTGAAGAGTAAGTCTTTGAGCCTTCCAAGTCCTGCTTTGGACCTTCCTTACTTATTTGTAAATGTTTTCTTATAATGCTTTAATTGGGACAGATGAGAAAAACACATCTGTTTTTTACTTGGTTACCAGTGTGTTCCGTTATGACACAATGTAAATATGCCTCTTGGGTTGTTCATGGTGGGCATATTTTCCTGGTCTGTCATGTGAGTGTACTTTCCAGAGCAAGGAAGCCTTTGCTGGGAGTAGGGGGACTTTGATCACCCATTGATTTTAAACCTTTCTTGGTAGGACTTTAGTTCTCAGAATGTATTAACTACCATCTGGACACTTGGACAGTATCCTTTCACGTCCCTGCCAACTGCAGAAAAACTATGCTATTGTCCACATCCTTTGTTCAGTGGGAAAATTGGAAGGAAAGGAGGGATACATTATTATCCTCTCTTAAAATATTTTCTCTTAGTTTTATATATAATGAGACAAGCAGAATATTTTTCTTCATTCGATTTTACCTTCGGTTTATTATCTGACACATGTATATGGGTTGCGGCATGTAGTGTTTTATAGACTGTATCCTTCAGGTTGTTTGACCATTTTTCAGCCATTGATTTTATCCAAGTGAAGCTCAATCTGGTTCGATTATCTCCCACAGGTAATCCAGGGGACCACAACTTTGTTGCCTCAGTGGGACAAATGTGTGAACTTTATTGAAAGTACCCTCCCTTATGTTGTTGGAAAAATGTTTGTGGATGTACACTTCCAGGAAGACAAGAAGAAAATGGTAAGTGCTGCCGCCCCCCCAGCTGGTGAAAACAATGGCAGTTAACCAGATCTGAGATAGATAATATGGTCAGCAGGCCAATATCAGCCTTCTAGCTTTTAAAGTGATGAATCTAGATAACAGTTTTGCTTCAAAGAGGAATTCTTGCAGTACCATATTAATTCAAAACTCAAATGTAGAATGTTATCATGAAAATTTAGAAATGAGAAAACAGCATGAAATCATGCCATATAGAGTCAGAATTTCTCCTGTAGAAATTAAATGTCTTCAGTCAATGCTTAGGAAAAAAGGGGGCCTGGATAATTTTGGGATTAGATATTTGAACCATTGTAAATACAAAAGATAGAGATATTTCATCAGATTTCTTTGTTTTAAAGGTTAGGAAGCTGGAGACCCAGTGATGAAATGATTTGTAATATATTTAACAGCTTTCCTTTTTTGCCAGTTATACTTACTTATTTTCTTCAAAATAAACAACTTAAAAAAATTGAAGTATAGTTGATTTACAGTGTTGTGTTAGTTTCTGGTATATAGCAAAATGACTTAGTTATGTTTCTAATAGTTGTATATATACTATAATGTAACAATTAGCAATGTCAAGCATCTTTTCATGTGCCTATTGGCCATCTGTGGAGAAATGCATATTTAGGTCTTCTGCCCATTGTTTGATTGGGTTGAAAAGAAACAATTTTTAAAAATTTATTTGTTTTTAATTGAAGGATAACTGCTTTACAGTATTGCATTGGTTTCTACCAAACATCAACATGAATCAGCCATAGGTTTACCCATGTCCCTTCCCACTTGAACATCCCTCCCCCATCCCTCCCCAACCCACCCCTCTAAACAAACAATTTTTATTGAAATAATGGTTGCTTTACAAAGTTGTGTTAGTTTCAGATATACAGCAAAGTGATTGTTATACATACATATATATCTATTCTTTTTCAGATTCTTTTCCATCATATGTTATTATAAGATACTGAGTATAATTACCTGTGCTATACAGTAAGACCTTGTTGTTTATCTATTTTATATATATAGTAGTATGTATTTGTTAATCCCAAACTTCTAATTTATCTCTCTCCTCTTCCCCCTTTGGCAAATATGTTTGTTTTTTATGTCTGTGAGTCTATTTCTGTTTTATAAAATAAGTTCATTTGTATCATTTTTTTGAGAGTCTACGTTTAAGTGATACTGTATGGTATTTGTTTTTCTCTGTCTGACTTACTTCACTTAGTATGATAATCTCTAGGTCCTGTCCATGTTGCTGCAAATGGAATTATTTCACTCTTTTTTATGCTTGAGTAATATTCCACTCTCTGTGTGTGTGTGTGTATATAATATGTATATATATATCACACCTTCTTTATCCATTCATCTGTTGATGGACAGTAAGGTTGCTTCCATGTCTTGGCTATTGTAAATAATGCTGCTGTGAACAATGGGGTGCATGCATTTTTTTGAATTAGAGTTTTTTTTGGATAAATGCCCAGGAGTAGGATTGCTGGATCATATGATAGTTCTATTTTAGTTTTTTAAGAAACCTCCCTAATGTTTTCCATAGTGGCTGTACTATTTTTTTCCATTCCCACCAACAGTGTAAGAGGGTTCTCTTTTCTTCACACTCTCTCATGTTTAGCAACTATTAAGTGGCTTAGAAATAGAAATACAATGCAGGGACTCTCCCCCCACCCCTTTCCTTTTGCTGTCATCTAAAAACTAAAGAGATGTGACATTTGTTTCACAGAAAACACTGTCAGGTTTTTTTCATAAGCTTAAAAAGAAATCTTTTTATTTTGTGAATTTCTAAACATATATGCCAAGAACATTGTAATCAACTTCCACGTACCCATGATCTGTGGCTATTTGTTGTAGTGGCATTAATCACCCAGCTAGATGAATCCACTAATAAAGGCTGAGGTTTAATTTCACTCATTTACTGAACAAATATTTGTTGAATATCTGTTATATACCAGGCATTGTTATAGGCACTTTATGAGGCAGCAGAGAACAAAGATCCCTGACCTCACTGAGATGACAAAAAAAAAAAATCAAAACAGTTGTATACATTATGATAAAGACTCTGGAAAAGAGAAGAATGAGATCCGGGTAAAGACAAATCAGGAGTGTTGGAAGGTGTGAGTGTGTGGGAAGGGTTGTAGGATTAAATGAGATGGTCAAAGAAAGCCTCACTGTGAAGATGACATTTGGTAAAGATTTGCAGGAGGTGAGAGAATCAGATACGGCAGTTATCTGGATGAAGAGTATTCTAAGCAGATGGAACAGCTAGTGCAAAATCCCTGAGGCAGGGATGTGCCTGGAGTGCTCAGGGAAGATCAGGAAGGTCCCTGTGGCTGGAGCAGGGTGAGTGGGGGTGAGAGAAGCAGATGCTGCGGTCAGAGCAATAGCAGGGCTGATGTGGCATTTTAGAAGACTTGTAGGACACTGTAAGAGTGTTTGTTGGCTTTGATGCTGAGTGGAGTGGGGAGCTATTGCAGGCTTTTTAGCAGAGGCCTGTTGTGACTTGACTTATGTTGAGAGGCTCCCCCTGGCCGCTGTGCTGGGAAGAGATTGTAGCAGGTCAAGAATAGAAGCAGGAAGGCCAATTAGGAGACTGTCAGAGGGACCAGGCCAGAGGTGATGGTGGCTTGGACCAGGCGGTAGCCGTGGACATTGTGAGAAGGCATGGTATTCTGAATACATTCTGAAGGATAGAACCAACACAGTTTGCTGATAGATTTCTTGAGGGATCTGAGAGCCAGAGCTCTGAGTCTGATTAAGTGGAAATACAGAGTTGCTGTTAACTGAGAAGAGGAGTGCTGGGGGGAGGATCAAGTTTAGAAGGGAAGACCAGGGCTTCAGTTTGGGCCCTGTTGAATTTGAGATGTTATCAGACTTCCCGGTGGAGACGTCAGAGAGGAAGTAGAGGAAATACAGTGGAGTTTAGGACAGACGTTGAGGTGGAAGATTGGAGGAGAGGGAGCGTATGAAATCGTTGTCCAGGGGAGTGGAGCACTGAGTAAACTGAGGGAATGTAGTACGGGTGCCTGGAGGCTGTGATGGTTTGGGTGAGGCTGGAGGTCATGAATTTTATTTTTATTTTTCGCCATGCCACAAGGCTTGTGGGATCTTTTTTCCCTAACCAGGGATCGAACCCAGGCCCTTGGCAGTGAAAATGCAGAGTACTAACAACTGGACCACCAGAGAATTCCCTGGAGGTCATGAATTTTAAAAAGTCTACTCATTTTGGCTGTATGTTTTCCATCGTTTCAGCAGCATTGGAGGAGAAGGTCCATTTTGAATTAGAAATGGAAATTTATCTAGTTTTTTTTTTTTGGTGTGCATTCTCTTTATGAAGAATTGTATTTTACAAATGGCATGAAGCAGAGTGTCTAGGAATGATTAACTAGGTAGGGGAAGACAAATAACGTTTTCTCTTCTAGGTTCTTGGCTGAGACTCTCCTGTAATACAAGATTAATAGGAGAAAAACTAACAAGTTTAATAACATGTGTATTTCCTATACTCAGGACAACTGAGTAACTTCCAGAAATGGCTGAAGCTACCACCTTAAATTCCAAGTCGAGCTAAAGATGAAATAAGATGTTGAGCAAAGGGAGAAGCCAATTATAGGTTACCAGACAAAATGCAGTAATTAAGGATGTTTGTTACACAGATTTAAGTCCTTAACTTCTCCATTGGTAAGAGTTTCTAGAGATTTAGTCACCCTCCTCTTCTTGGTACAGAAACGGAGGCCTCTTTACAACGGCGATTACCCTTATAAAGGTTAACTTCTCTCACAAAAGAGTGACTTCTCTACTTTCAGGAAAATTCCTGTGTCTGCAGCCTCTCAAAAAATAATCAGCCCCAAATAATCAATATGCCAAAGGGACATATTTTCTCGCTGTATGCTCAGTCATGTCTGACTCTTTGCAACCCCATGGACTGTAGCCTGCCAGGCTCCTCTGTCCATAGAATTTTCCAGACAAGAATACTGGAGTGGTTTGCCATTTCCTTTTCCAGGGGATCTTCCCGACCCAGGGGTCGAACCCATGTCTTCTGCATTAGCAGGTGGATTCTTTACCACTGCGTCACCTGGGAAGCATTTTTGGGATGCTATATTTTGCTCTCCCTCACTAATAACAATCCGTTATGGTCAATCAGATTTGAATATAAGCACCTTGAATGCAAGTGATCATTAAACAATGGATTTAAAGGCAAAGAAAGTTAAAACGCTTGATAAGTCATTATAATTCAACTAGTTGGTATTACGTGTCGATGTGTATTACAACTATGTATTATGTGCTGAAGTTTGCTTTGGAATGCCATACATCTAAGTACATTTACTTAGGGTTTTTCTTTTTCCTGTCTTTTGATACTTGGGAGAATTTAATGCCAAGTTTGAGACTTTATATTTGAACCTGAAAGTACTCTTCTTGCAAATAATTCCACTGAAGAATTAATGTCATTTCAAAATATTCAATATTCCCATTGTGTTTTCTTTCACTCCTTGGTAAGAGTAAATGGATTGAGAATTTATCAGATAATCACAGTGGTAACATTATAAGCCCTGGAAAGGATATAAAAACAATTAAGGGATAGTGGAGGTGTTTTTATATAACAGGATTCTTTTTTTTTGGCAGTAGAAGAATTTTAAGTAATATGAAAAGTATGTGGATTAATTTGTTTTTCTCAGTTTTGGTGTGAAAGTCCCTTTTTCTTGTCAGCATGTGACCTTTTAAAATAAAGTTGATTTTGGCACTCCCCCCAATGTTGTGGTGTATGTGGGATGAGGAGGTAGTGTGATCGTTACACAGATACTCATCTATTTTACATAAAATTATTTGCTGCTCTTAAGCAGAAGCTGTTTGCTTCAGGGAATATTTAAGTTCAGAACTTATAAGAGAAATATCTGGCTTTTTATAGCCATGTTGCAGGGCTCTCATCCAAGAACCACCTGGAACCACTGATTTACTTGAAAAACATTCTTTATTATTAGCTA